ATTGTATAATCGGAAGTCTTTAATTTTGTTTGAAGTCTTCACTTTTGTACGCTAGACGACAAAATGTTTCCTAATATTTAAGTTAGAATAACATTCGCTTGCTGTAGTGCTGTAGTTGTGTGCATTGCTTGCTTTTGTGTTACGTGCTGATAGCTAAACTTGGAAGGTTGGATATAAGTTGTAATAATTACGATGGTTATGCGTGTATAGCTTAATAGGCAGTTAAGATGGGTTGATTTCGATTTTAGCGAATTTCCCATATAGGGAATAAGCTATTACCGTAGTACTCATGGTAAGACCTGGACCCGGGACAGATTTTTTTTTCGTTTTGAGGTCCCTAGAGGCCAAAAACACCATCCGTTCAAATTCATATATATATATATATATATTTATATATATATTTATTAAGGAACGCGGCAGCGTTCCGCCCCGCCAAGTCCCCCAGCGGTACACAGCTGCTGCAGTGTATATATACATGACGTGACAAAGTGGCTTTTTTACTCGTCTATAGCTCTGAAGAAACAAAAGCTATTAAAATAATTGTTCATCCACTGGATAGGGGCAATCATTCTTGGCAAAATAAAAAAAAGAATTTAAAAAAAGGTTGTGTTTGAGCCAAGAAAAACTAGTTTGAAAATTCACAAATTTTCCGTGTTCTCCTTCTTCTCCTTAAATGTTGACGGACCTACAGCCCAAACCACTGGCTCAATTTTAATGTTTTTTATGTTGTTTGAAAGCCCTTAGCGTGTAGATGTGCCTTTTGAGGTCACAAGTCGGTGCGTTGACCCATAAACCCTTGGCAAGCCCTCAAAGTACGATTTTGGCCCATTTAAATAACATGGGATTAAAATCAAAACAAAAGAAGGATCAGCTGCGATTGAATCTCAATTAATTTAAAATGTTAGAGAAATTCATAGGATCAGCTGAAAAATTATTTTAAAACTTTTATTAAGTATTTTTTTCAGGTATACCGAATGATTTGAGCTACTTACTATATAAAATTACTTAGAGCAGTGATATTCCCCGATACTTTCCATTGAAAAATGCAGTGTACCGATGGTACACTGGTACAGCAGCTCGTCATTTTTAACAGTTTAATACTACTTATCAAAACATATGAAACCTAGGAACTTGAAACTTAGTACTAGTACTAAGGTTAGTTTTAACATTGTTTCTTCATAATATTGCCAAAATTTATTTAACTAAATAAGGTTAGTTTTATGTTTTGATACACTAAAACAAATAAAACAATCGGGAAAATTCGTCTACGTATGTTAAACAAGCAAAAAAGTGAATGTAAAAAGTGACATGTAAATTTAGGATAAAAATGAGTTTTTCAATATTTGTTTTGCCTTATGCTATTTCTAACAAACCTAATCTGTTTGATTACATTTTTACTTCTCTAATAAGGGCTCAATTTACACTAGTCTTTAGATATACGGGTTTAATTATCGGAACACTTATGTAACACCAATGCATTTTATGTGTAGTTGTGCCCTGGTCTATATAAGAGAAAAGAGGATTTTTATTTTAACTGTTAATTTTCTACAAAAATAAATACAATCTAACAAAAAACCACTAAGTGGTAACACTTCCCCCGCCAAGTCAGCAACCCAAAAAAGACAATAAATCACCACTTTTCCGCCAAGTAAAACAATGTAATGTATGTAAGTTTGGCCACTTGGCGGCAGACTTTTGCTTGATCACTTTAAAAAATACCATAAAATTAGTTTCATTGAGCAAGTATCTCTCCCAATAGTACATTGCTAGATGAGAGCTTATTTTACAAAATTTTACCTTATTTGTGTCACATTTCATAAAATCATAATAGTGATGGTTTTATATTTACTGATTACCTCGAAATTATTATACTTAGTTGGACTAATTAATTAGAGAAGTTGATTTGTGAAATTATCCACCAACGTAACTTTAATGAAAAAAAAACAAGCAAAAGTCTGCCGCCAAGTTGCCAAACTTACATACATTACATTGTTTTACTTGGCGGAAAAGTGGTGATTTATTGTCTTTTTTGGGTTGCTGACTTGGCGGGGGAAGTGTTACCACTTAGTGGTTTTTTGTTAGATATATATATTGTATGTGTCCGTTAGCGCGATAACTCGAGCAAAAATGATCCGATTTTGATTAAATTTGGTACAAACGTGTAAACCTACGTTTATTCGAACGAGTTCGCGAACCAGCATGATCGGACCATGGGAACGGGGGTTTATGGGGGGTTTTATGGGGTAAAAATGGGTTTTTCCCATTTTTGACCCAAAAAACATCAAATTTTGCAATTTCTTTCTAAACTATTTTGTAGAGCTTACAAAAAAAAATAATTTAGTATATTGAAGCGTTATAATGCGCCTAATGGTTACGGAGAAAATTCCAAAAAATTGCAAATTTAAAATTCCCATGTTATTCTTATGGAGAATAAGTAAACTGTTGTAGTTTGCTTGTTTATTAACATATTTTACCCAAATTTGGAACATGTTTTTATTTCTTAATAACAATTAACATTTTACATAAAAAAACACTTTTACCCTCCCTGTTGCAGCAAACCTAAGTATGTGTTAAACTGATTCTATTTAAATAGGGATAAATGTGATATTTTTAAGGAGACATTTTAGTGTAAATCCAATCAGGCAAATGGAAATTCGCTTAGTCTGCAGGTTTGCTGCGGCGGGGGTATTATTCTTTTAATTACCGTATTTAGTGTGTGCTTGACTCCTTTTGTTAAAAATATTAGATGACAGCTTACGAAATCGTTCTAACAGTTTTAAAGTTTGTAAAACAAGGATTCAATATCATAGCCAACATTAATCACCCTTAACAGTCATAAATATACCTTAAACTGTTTTCAGGGCTCAGTTTCATAATAAACTACAAGTTACAAGCTGTAACTTGTAGTTTCCATTTAGATCTGCATTGGACAATCGCCAATCAGCTGATTTACTAATAATATTAGTTTGTAGTTTATTATGAAACAGGCCCCAGCTGATCCACGAATATGTGTGTTTTATCATTGGCTTTTGGATATTGAAGGTTTCTATGGCAACGGTGCGTCATGGTTTTAACGGATACAGGTGTACCAACTAAACAAGACTGGGTCAGACGTCGGCGGAAGTAGTGGGCAGAACAGTGATGCAACACCGAAGATCACTGTCAGTGATGCAACAAACAAAACTCATTGTTGTGATCGCCTCTTCAAACTTGACGAAACAAGACATCTAAGTGGCTGTGAAGGGTTTAGAATCTTTGACTATGAATGTAACTAGTCTCACCCATGTTGCAGCTGGTTTTAGAATCAACATGTGCACAATTGAATTGACAAGGTGGGCTGATGAAAATTACTGATTTCTGTAGATTGTTTTGATTGTTCTGAATGTTTAACCAAGTCAAATTGAAAGAACTTGTTGTAAGTTATACTATATTATCTTTTATGTCACAAACTATGACAAACCAAAACAGAGATACAAAATGGAATTTTAGACTCTCTATTTCATGATGTCTTGTAAAATAAAACCATAGCTACAGTTGGTCTAGATGGGATGTCCACTTCCAGTACAAAAGCCAATTAAATGGGGGATTTTTAGTTACTCACGACCAGTTTATAGAGCTAGGACAACTATGTTAACGCCCAATGACAGCTGAATACAGTTCAAAAGTGCCATAAACCATTCTCAGGGTTGAACCATAGATTAAACATAGGTACTCAAGTAGTACTCCTACATTGTGAGTATGTTTAATCTATGGTTGAACCATAGGTAGGATTGGTAGAATGGTAGGTAATTGGAGCACCATACACTGGAATGTTATAACCTTTCGTAATTCAATCTCAATGTGACATGACATCATACACCAACAGCGCTATGATTCCTAGGAGCGAAAGCAAGCCCGAAAGTCCCGGGGGTCGTATTGTTTGAGACTGTCGGGAGTCATTAAATTCATTGTTACAAGACAATATCATTCTGAAGAAGGCATCACAGCAGGTGTCAAGGACAGAAATGTCATTAGAAATACATCATTCTTTTCCTAAGACAAATGAAAAGAAATGAATGACAGCTAAGAAACAATGCTAGTGGATCTTGCAAGAATTGTAGATTAATTAATTTCTGAAGTAATGGCGAAAGGGATAAGTTATTTATGCTCCTACCTGATAGGACTAGGTAACATCACAGAGCTTATGTGGTAACATGCACAAAATAGCAGCTACAAGTTCTGATTCATCTCAATAAATTGATAAAATTGATATTGGAATGGCTTATGAACAAGTCAACAAAAGTAAATACACTGAGAACTAAAAATAGGAAGGTTGGTTACATCATGCAATGCTACTGAGCATATAATTACATACATTGTGTAGTCAATATTGGTTGCATAGTGTATACTTTGCATAAGTAATCTTGGGTTTTACAATGAGACAGTCCTGTGTATAATTCCTTACTGGCTAGTATAATCAGCACTTCATAAACAACAGTGTTATTAGCTTTTGTTCTTTCTTTTTATTTTCTAGTTTTAGGTGGGAAGATTAAAAATTTAAAGGCTTTTAAAAGATTAATCAATTGTAAAGTACTGTAGCGTTAATTTAGCATTGAAGTAGAGACCTATAAAAGATTTTACACATAACTTTGTCTAAATTTTGATTAGATAAAAGTAAAATGTTGATAATTTAGTGTAGTAAAAATTTTTATGTTTTTATAATAGGAACAATACAGTATACGATCATATATTTTTATCAGGACCAATTTCTACGGCTAATCCAGCAGTAAAATTTTTTAAAGACAGAAACATTAATTTACAAATGATGTCATTGACTCCAGTAGATTCATTTTGCCTTCGTGGTAAATAAAATCTAAAAACTACACGTAGCGCTGTACACATGTATTGAATATGCCTTCTCTACCTACTGCCTAATAGCTTTAATGCTACTGCTAAACTAAAATATTGAAAACGGCTGTTTTCACTTGCAGTATGTTAAATAATTCTTGATTTGGTTTCAGATGCTCGTAACGTGTTCCTGCCAGACTTCACAGAAGACTGTGTGGCTTGTATCTGCGATGCCTCGTCTGCATGTAACCTGACCATAGGCTGCTTTGCTGGTCTATGCGGCCCCTTCCTAATCGGCCGTCAGTACTGGCTCGACGCCGGCGCCCCAGTCCTACCTGGCGCCACATGGCAGTCCAAGAATGGTAATAACAAAAATGTATACCTTAATCATGTAAAATGTATAACTATTTAATCATTTTTGTAGAACACATTTTTCTGCACAGTTTGACATGTCTAACGTATTCATATGACTCTTGGTTATCGAGATACAAGTAATTTTGATTTTGTGTGCGGTGCCTAGCTAGAGCAATCACCGCGACGCGTGTTACGCCTTCGCCTTGTACTGTACTGTATTAGGTTTATTAATTTCTGGTTAAACTTATCGTTAAATTCAAAAAATGTAATTTTCACTAATATCTCGTTGTTTTCCGTCAAACTACTACACATATAAGCTATTTTGTGCGCGGCAGCCCCCCCCAACTTCACCCCCTCCCCTTATGTTATTAACCACCTAGGTATGCGACAACATTGATTTTCTTCATCTACTAGGTGGGTATAACCACAATCAAAAGTCAAATTTCGGTACACTTTTATGCATGCTCAAACCACCTCAGCACCTTAAACCCTCAACTAAATGATGAGGAACAGCTGGGTTTAGTTTCAAACCATCAAAAAGCTACTAACTTTTCTCAGGATATATCCGGCAACCTTTTGATTGCTAAGCGACCACTCAGCTACTCAGCCAGCAGTCTTACTAGATCGTACTTTGGCAACATCTTGTTGACCTTGTAACTTTAATAGTGTACTGCTCTTTTCTCCAAGGAAGGTTAGGTTAACCCAATAAAAATAGCTATATCAAAGAACAAATAACACAGATCAGAAATACAGTTATTAAGTTATAACTATGATTTCAGCATACGAGTCTTGTACAATGGACCCCAACTGTGCAACAAGCACCATCTTCAACTATATGACTCGTTTTGCACGGGTAAGAAATTAATTTATAGTACAGTATGTAATTAGTTGAAAAATTAAAAATTACCTATACAGCAAGAATCTTCCAAGATATAAAATATTATTTATTATTTCAAAATATGTAAACATGTTGAATTTTCATCGCATTTACTGCTGGGGGTTAAGCCAAGACAAATCAATTGATTTAAAGCCCGACATAATCGAGGATAGCTGGAAGTCTATTGTATTTTCTCAGTATATTTAGGATTCCTTTATAACGTAATTTTTCTCCGCAACAGGACTGCAACGGTGATGGCCAAATATCGTGTGACGACTACGCAAGAATCCATTACCTCGGGGGCAACCAATGCTCTGTGCCGATCAAGAACTACGCTTACTACAGAATATTCCAACAATGCAACTCCAGGCAGCCTCCACAAGCTCCCCCTCTGTAAACTACCGGACCGTCAGTCAGTGCCGAGTCTAACGATTCAGTGAAAAATCATCTTCTGTAGACAATTTACTTCATTGATCACTATTAAATAATAAGTTAGTGGAAGTAAAAGCCAAGATGATTATATTGTAAATAAATTTTATTTAAATACTTAGTACTCCGCAGCTTATTATACTATAAACTGAATTATTGGAAAAGTAATTGATATTGTATTGGTAAGGGACTACTTACTAGCTTTGCAGTAAGCTATATAGTTTGATATTTTTATAAAATAAATATTTTTGGTGGTTAAGGGACCACCAGGACTTTGCAGTTTGAAGTGCTCAATAAGTCTTGCACATACGATCATTTTCACAACATTACAGAGTTAAAAATAATTTAGGAAGTGGTTTGTGAATCACTTCCTCTGCTTTTCTTTCAAACAACAATGGTGTAGACACATCCAATTCAGTTGGTGAAACGATAAAAACCATACCGAAGGTTAAGTTGTTAAAGGAGGAAAATTGTCCAATGCAAAAAATGTTACTTTTCACTGTAAATAAAATAGACTGCTAGGGTCTATATGTAAATGTAATGTTTCGTAGGATGAACAAAATATCGAAAACAGCTGAATTCAAAGTAGGCCTAGTTAAGTGAAAAATTAATTTTTTGTGAGGATAGCAGGCTTAATGCACAAATAGTTCTAAAAGCCTAGGTCCCATATTAAATCAGATGAAATTGAGTTATATTTGAAGTTTTCAAGCTCTTTATTTTGAAATTAAATTAAATTATCTTACTTTTGGTACTTCAGTTATGTTATGTTGAATTAAAATTTACCAGTAGGAGCCTTCCTAACTACCCTAGTTGTAAAATTAATTATAATATGTTTACTTAATATTTATATATTCAACTGTGTAAATAAAGCATAAAGATTTATACTTAAGTATTGACTGACCTGTGGTATTCAGTGATTAATCTAATATTATTAGTTACCTACCTAAGTGTAAAATATGGCGATGAAAAGACAAGCATTACACTCTTTACCTAAATCTTACAGAATTGTAAGGAACAGAGCAACTTAGTTTCAGTAATATCAGTATCTTTTCCCCTGAGGCAATAGCCAATAGAAAAACAGATCACTATAACTAATCTTGTTTTGTCACTGACTTATATAGTCTGTTCACGAAATTTAGGTGGTTTGAGGGTGAAGTTCCCCCACTACTTTTTTTGTTAATGTATATGTTGCAGCTGATTGACCTTTTGGAATACCTCAGCTGTTGCCTCCTTTTTTAAGGTAAGTTCAAGTTGAGGAGATAGATTTCTTCGCCTATAACCACCTAAATTTTGTTTATAGTTTTGTACTGTATAATATCAATAACATTTGTTCGGTAAACCATTAATCATCCATTGTTTTCTTATTTTGTGGCTTTATAGTGTTCCTTGTAAATAATAGAATAGTTATAATCAAACAGAAATGGACGCCAAAGAAATTAGGGAAATCATTATTTTAGCACTTGTATAATTACATCACTACAGTTACCATGTTATCAAAGTCTTATTAAAATCAAAAATGTTGAGCAACCATGCTTGTAAAAGATGAAACAGATTGACCCAAAAATCATTTTGCGGGTCCTGATATCCTATCTCAGCTAAGTTGAGGCAAACTACTTGACCAAAGGGTAGTAACTTTGACTATTTGATACTGAAGGTATTAGTGACACCTCGCAGAGCAAACTTCTTGGAGGAGGTGGAAATGTAATGAATAATTTGCAGAGAAACAGATAGATAGTGTATTGATAGTTAAAATAAAACAACATCTGTTTATTTCATGTAAATAAGCCGAATTATAGAAACTTCCTGGATTTTTTAATAACTTTAACAAATTATAGTTCAATTAATTAAATTAATCAATATTTTATGATCATATAAAATACCCCAGAAAACTACGAATATAATTTGTCTTAACTCATTTGTAAATAAGAATGAAACAATCAATTAATAAATATTTTATTAATAAAACTTTACACCAACGTCAGATACAAACATTTTATATTAGTTCTGACCCTGTAGTTTAATTGGGTTCAAAGGTTTTATTAAATGGACAGTCTTTCAAAAACAAACATTTTTAATTAGATCTTGTTAAACGCAGCAATATCAACGGATTGTACGAAGTCTTCGAAGTTGGTGATATCTTCTGTCAGCTCATCAACAGAAACTTTGTCATCTTCAACGACACACATGATTTGGAGTTTCTTAATACCGTAACCAACCGGAACAAGTTTTGCTGGAAAGATAGATCAAAATAATAATCACTCTAAACTGACAGGAATACAGAAAATAAAATGCAAATATTGTGTACTGGCAGAACCAAATATTAAATAAACCACTTTCTTAAACTGCAAATTCCTCATCCTTTCTTTAAATGAATTTCAACAAAGATGTATCTTAAAGTGAATAGGCCGATACCTAGATATATATATTTTTAAATATTTAAAATCCTCAGGAAATAAATCCTTTCCATTCTATCAATCATAAACTCTTTGAGACAGCGACACAAACTTGAGTGCATATTTCAAGCTAAATAATAATATGAACGCAAGGAGAGTGTAGAATGGAGTGAAACGATCAGTGTAGCCTTGTTACTGATGTAAGACCAGCTGTTTCATCAGTAAAGTTGACTATCATTTCCTCAAACACTAACAAGAAAAATTAAAGACAAAATTAAAATAGGCAGAGGCTATTCGTATGTCAGACGTGGGCCGCTACCGCGCACGTCTGATCCAAATGACGCCACATTACGTTCCTAATCCAGTTACTTTTATAACTGTTTGAGAACAGATTGCACACAAAGAAAACCTAGTATTAGGAACGGTAGTATACCTCTAAACCTCATTGGCCGAAATGGATGGAATCAACTTCACGTTATCTAAGTTACCCGCAACTATATATGGATTGAAATGAAAGTGTTCTAAACTAACCTAACCTAGCCAAACTTGCTGTAACATTTCAAAATTCCATTTGGTCTGAAATGAAACTGTTCTTTACTAACCTAGCCAATTTTTTTGGAACATTTCAAAAATTACTTTCGATAGCAGAAATGGCTTCCATGCTCCATCGACTGTTCTAGAACGTTTAATCCTTAACAGAATATGCTCGCCTTTTTCTTTTTAAGAAATAAATTCTTTTAACACTCAAAATAGCAAAATTTAAAAGGAACCTCCATCTTTGCCGAAATTTAATGTGAGTGAGTAAGTAATTCAAAATGGCTTCTAGAGGTAACTGTTTCCTTTGCATTATTTTGCAATACTGGAACCGGAACTGGAACGTTTGACGTTTGAACGTTCATTTTGACGTTTGAATAGTCACTTTGATTATCCTAAAACAATGAGTTTTAGTCCGTTGACAACTACTTACATGCTCCCCAAACAAGGCCCTCCTTCACGATGGTTCTGACTTTAGCTTCCATCTCCTTCATGTCGGTCTCGTCGTCCCAAGGCTTGACATCCAGGACGATGCTGGACTTGGCAATGAGTGCAGGTTTCTTGGACTTCTTCTCTGAATATGCCTTCAGCCTCTCTTCTCTCAGCTTTGCTGCCTCTGCGTCCTGAACAAAAGCGATAATAACGATTAGAAAGAAGGGGGTCGCTCACAGGGAAGTAAAAGATTAATGTAAGATGACCAAATGGTTGAGGACGTGTGGGGACTAGGACAAGTAGAAATGGTGGAGGACAGACACGTCTGGAGGTCACTAAACGTCTAGATCAAAATTCAACATTGGGATTGGAGTGGCCACAGGACAAAAAAGAGATGTATTACCACCCTAGAATGTCCACATGGAGAAAATTTTACCCAGGCTCATTTTAAATTAAAAAGGAAGTACGTGACAGGCGCCTCAGTGCTTCCTCCCCCTGAGTACCTTCCAGGTGACTCCATTACTGGATGATCTTGAAGTCTAATTTGATAAAGGGCCAGTTTTGTAATGGTAGATTTAATATCAAGTCAGCGCAGTATACTGTCAGGAGACTTTATCCCACGCGGGCATTGGGGTTAGTTATCATGTTATGTATGCAGTGAACAATAGAGTCTACTATTGAGATGTAATATAGTAATTATACTGAGTGAATAAAAAGTCAAGACCCCCCTTCTAATATTTTTCTAAGTAAATATACAGAGCTATCTTTTTGGTGGTCGTGCAATATGTCCAAAATGGTAGCCAATATTACAATTTTGAACCAATATTACCATTGATTTTCCATAACATTTGACAGACTAACATTTTGGATAGAGATGAAATAGCAAACTCTGGTTTTTGCCATTCTTTAAGTTTTTTGTAAACACTTTAAAATGAGGTGTCACTTGAAGGGGGTTTACATTTAAAATTTTTAAGTTGCCCCCAAAATCCCCCCTTTTCAGGGGACATTTAAAAATTTCAAAATCATAAAATGAAACTTCCTGCGTAGATCGCACAACCACCAAAAGGATACCTCTGTATATTTACTTAGAATAGAATAATATTAGAGAGGTGGGGTCTTGACTTTTTATTCACCCTGTATGCTACTTTGATTTTAAGAACATTTGTGTTGTATTCTAATAAGAATATGTATTATTAGTGAAGGCGACTTTGTTTGGAAACATTTCACCCCGTGAAAACTGTGGTGACCAAAATCATTCAATATGAACATTTCTAATCGATAGTGAACACTACTTACTGAGTTAGTGAGTTTATATTTGTATATGAATATTTATTTATATTGCAATAGCCAGTTCCAGTAACCAACGTTCTTTTGAACAAATTTAACAGGTTCTTGAAGGATACAGGAAAAGATATTGAAACTTAACAATTCTAAAGAAATTGCAACAAGATAGCGTACATAGAATTTGAATATATAGCCAATAATGTTTCAGACCACTGTGCTTTTGGTTTGGGGGGGGGGGGGATGGGCAGGAATGTTGAAGCCGAGAATGGAGAAACGGGGACTTTTGGGAAAATACACGTCTTAAGTGAGTTCTATCACATAAAACCAGCTTTCCACCATTTAGTTTTTAACACTTCACGGCAAGTATTGTAGAAAAAGCATGGTACTTAGGCTTAAGCAGCTTAAGACATATTGTGTGTAGGCCTAGACTCTGGCGCTATCCCCACTGCTACACTAAGATAAGTTGTTTGTTTAATGCTAGACAGTTCTGATACATTTAAACTTTAAAATACATTTTGGTGTGTTGTTAGCCCAGTGGTTAGGGTTTCATACTTTGATGCAAGAGGAACGGATTCGATTCCCAGACCAAAAACATATGAGTTTGAGTTAGGACCTCTCACGTTTTAAGTGTTAAAGTATTCTGTACACTCCTGTATAAAGGCCAACAAAGTAGGCAAGGGGGAAAAACGTTGAGCCTGTAATCTAGACAAATTATGTTTCTATGTGTACAGTAAAAGTAGTGATTATTAAATAATTAATATGAAAATAAAATATTGACTTATGAGCAGCATGTAAAAGGTTAAGAAATAATCATAAGTTACTGAATCCGAATATATAATTCGGTGTGAGTTCCCAGTGTACAGGCCTATTAAAATCATTAAAATCTATTGAAAAATACTGTAACCAATGTAAAATATGACGAAAAAGAACATTTTATTTGTTAATTTGATAGCCAACTTAAATTATCACCTATCATCATGATCCAAAAATCAAACATGCTATAGGCTAGGCCTACTACCTATCAGATGAAATAATTAGTGATATATATTTACCTCTTCGTCATCTGAGCCAAAAAGATCGACATCGTCATCATCATCAGCTTTCGCGGCGGGCTTGGCAGCGGCTGGTGCAGATGCAGCTCCAGCACCTAATGTTGTTGGGATTTTCTTATCACCGGTAAACTTCTTCTTTTCATCTGCAGTAAAGGATTTGATGTGATTGTACCATCTTAGAGCATGAGGGGTAGAAGAAGTTGGAGCCTTGGAAAACGCCTCAAAAACAGCAACATCAGCATTGGTTGGTTGGTATCTAAAATTTAAAAATAGGCAAGTTAAGGAAAATTTTTACAACCAACAACTCATAACTTAATAATATGTTAAATAAACTGAAGAGAAAAGCAACCTTTTAATGATAAAATCTGCAAAAACTTCAAGAAACCAATGAGCCCATGGGCTATGTTCATTCAAGAGCTCGCTTGCGAAAATCGGAAAAAAAGGAATCTCATAGGTCTATGCAAAATGTCTAAAAGTTATAAATCATTCAACCGCAGATAGCAAAATGGTGAGATTTTTCAGGTAGGCCTACTTAGACTAGTATAATAAGGTGTTGCTTATAATGGGTGTGTTGCTAGACTTGTGACTAGAAAGACAAGTTTGATTCCCTGAAACGCTCACAAACCATATGAGGGGCACAGTTCTGCAGAGAACCCGCGATAAAGCTTTTTCTTTATTTCATCCTTAGTTTTTTTCTTGAATATTTTATTTAGAATAAAAGTGGAAGAAACCTTGAATTTTGGATTTGTAGCCTATAAGGTTGGGACCACACATATCAACAGTATTAAAAATTGAATATGTTTTTGTGAAGTACGGTATTGTTATTAGTTTTATTAATTTACTAGCAGTTACTATTGCTGCTGCGCTAACAACTATTATTGAGCTTTCTTTGAAAGTGCATCAGAATGTAATGGCTTGACCAATTGATATGAAATTTGGCCAACAGCTAAAGAATACTGAGCACAATGTTTATGGTAAAAAATATTTGCAAATTTCCTTCTGGATTTTATTTTACGGGTCACGCAATTTCGCTTGTTATTTTAATGTAAATTGAAAGAAAAATTATATTGGGTTTATGACATAAGGGATTATCTCGTTTCATTCAAATAAGATAAACATAATATGTTATTTGTTTGTAACTGTTTTGTTTACATTTCAATGTTTACTTTCATCCTAGGTTAAAGTTGGAATGTAACAGTTTATCAATGGAAGTAACAGTTTTGCTATATTTGTTTTGAGCATGCCTCAAAGGCCACGTCATAATATTGGTCGTCGCACCAATAATGCAAATGTGGACATTGGATTTTCAGAATATGGCTTAGGTTTGTCCTACGTAGGCCTATCAAGAGTTAAGACATTTGAAGGCCTGCTTCTGGATCCACCATTTTCACTAGACCGATTGATGTCCATTAACAGACATGGATCTTGGGCAAAGAAGAAAGAAGCTCTTGACCGTTTAAGCGAAATGTCAAATACATATGTCTAATAACCTTTTATCAATTCTTATTCTTAACTAAATTAAAAAACATCAGATAAATTTGTCATTATTTAGAAAATAATATCGGGCAAACGAACGGTGAATCTGTTGAAAGGGAACATATTGTAGGTTGTTAGCTGCTTTAACCATTGACAATCTTTAAATAAAGCTTCACATTTATGCGTCTACAGTATAACGGCAGACCACCCTAGTTTTAAATGGTAATTTGTTCTTTAGGATTTAAATAATAAAAATGTATACCAAAAACACAAATAGAAAACGGTATTTTACTTAATTTGCCAGTGGATAAACAATGTTTTTTTTTTTCGTTAGGTGTAAGCCTGTAGGTATATATATAGAAGTTTTTAGGTGTATCTACCACCACGTGAGCACGTAACATACAGCTGTCCGAGTGAAAAGCATGCATTTTTTAACCGGCGGTAAACAGGGACTACACTTGAGCCTTACAATTGTGATTTCGAAAGCAAAACGCAAAGGAAATTGTAGCCGCTTGAATTCAAAGGGTAGCCTAGGCCTAATTCAGATGAAATCATCAATATTCTCGGGATTAAAGCTAGGCCTCTTGTAAACTTTGATGATTGTTGCTTCGATCAAGATTTGTGTCTTTATTAACACGTTCGCTACCAAGCGTCGCATATATTTGACACCACAATCATTGCCACGGACCGAGGCATGCAATTTATGTAATCTTACACATAGACCGGCTGTCATTTGCTTTACAAAGTACCGTAGCTTTGTATAGCCTAACTTATTTTCAAAATTTGCAATCTTTCCGCCCCTCAAAAAATGTTTTACTTAAAGATTTTACTTAAAGACCCTTTCAAACTTTAGGGTACCACATAATTAGGCATAGGGTCCTAAAAATAGGGGTTGAGTTCCACCTTCAAAACACAAAACAAATTGAGTCATACAGAGGAACGGTGACCATATTTTATTTTAAATAGAGGCCTATACCTAATTTAAGATTTGTGAAAGATAGCGTAACACTGTTCACTGTATGATTACTTTTTTTGAACCCAGTTTAATATAACAACACACCCGACACAATTCTTACAAAATTTTATCCACTTTTGGGCTATTATAGTAGGCTATATAACCTAAATACGTCCACGTGGAGGTTAGGTTATTATATTCTCAGCTCACCCTTGAATGTAGCTGCGTTCACTTAGATACGCATCTAAATCCTTCACGCCCTTCTCTGAGCTCACGGAAATTGCAACAGTCATTTTATAATTTTTGATAATTTAATAAATATTGTAAAATAACTACAGGAAACTCCGAGTCGAGGGCGATCAGGGAGAATTGGAGGAGTTTGGAGAGAGAGAAAAGAAGAAAGAAAAATGAGATGGAGGAGGACGAGGAATAGGAATTTGCAGGCTGACAAACATAAAACTAATTTCATATCTGAGTGTATCAGAGTCTCATACTATAATATGTTGGTGATTTTTGTTGACAATTAATTATTGTTTCAATTTCAAGAATTAGCAGGAAAGATTTAAAACTCAATTTACTTTTATGTTTATGATTAAACCAAAGAAATAACATTTACATGAATTGAATGAATTATCTCTTCTAGATAGATACATGTACTACATATCATTGATTAGACCGTGATTGATTATGTTTACTCAATAATGCAGGATATATAGCCAATTCAAATAGTATAAATATATAAAAGACACACACAAAACGCATTAAGTCTACACATACACACGTAGGCTTAGTCAAGTGTTTTTGAATATATTTTTCATTTTCAGAATAAATTCATACTTAATAACAGGTCCAGGGGCCCTATTTATTAATGCTACATTGCTGGTATCATAGATAAAACATACTTATTTTCTGTTGGTTAGTCTATGCTAGTATCAATCAATAGCAAATTAAGCACACGACTAACGTATGGAATGTGTGCAAAATCTGTGCCTCTTCGATGTACAATCCTGTTGCTTAGTATCTAATTTTAAACCGCTGTGACTCTTTTGTCCGATCCTTTTTTACATTGCTGTGCTGTCTGTTCGTTGTCTGTCAAAATTGTCTTGTCAAACTTCAACTCCTACTTTGTATGACAACTGTGAATAGTAGAAAACGATTTTTAGCAATTAAATTAATCTACCCTAGATGGTCCGTGTATATGCATCGTAATCTGAATTTATGTTTAACATTTACAAAATATATAGTTTTGATTTCTTCTAGTATTGCCTCCCTATTCGCTTTTCATGTGTGTTGTCAAAATATTTGGTTAAGTAAGTTAACTTACATAGGCTAGTCCTGTTTTGAAGAATCGTTATGGATGATATCAAACACAAGATTTTTGAATTTATTTCCAAGCAAGTATGTATATAATATATTTTTTTAATTCACTCCGACTGTAGACCTTACATTTAGCTATGCCTAGTCTAATTAGCTGCATGCAAACCACATCTAAGTTACCTATGTTAGTTGTAAGGCCCAAGTCTAATTAAACTTATTGATTGATGAACTGATACAACTTTTTATGGCCAACATCTGATCACTTCACCATACATACTCCTAGTTAAAATCTAGGCCTAGTGTAAACATTTCTAGCTCATTAGTTCATCTAGGCTATATACGGTATTAAAAGTGTGTCATTGTTTTCTGTATATATTATGTGGAAATAAATAAACATTTATTCATTCATATATAAAATCCAATATGTATGTTTGTTTGTTTGTCCTTTATGGACTCCGAAACTGCTCGACAGATTGTAATGAAACTTTCAGGCATTATTAAACATTATTCAAGGATGGTTTGTGTGAAGTTTGGTGCAGATCCGTCAAAAGGGCTCCGCCCCAGTGGCTCTGGAGTTTCCCATGTTAACGTTATGAGTACTCATATTTAAATGGAATTAAAGAATCTTAACAGCTGGTTCAACTAAACAATTTGATTCTATGGTGTTCAATAGCATTAAAAAGTTAATAGGTTTACCAACAGGGTGCAGCACTATTATTTTTTTTAATTTATGACAACAGCTAATTATTTGCAACTAAAAGGTGAGTGAGTGCAGCGAACGAGCTCCAACCTAAAGGTGAGTGAGCGTGGCGAACAAACTTCAACCAGGACGTGATGGAGCCATGCGAACGAGCTCATCTTGGAAATGAACGAGCATTTGACATAAAACCACATTAGGACAGGACGTTGTCTGTCGGGCCAGCTTGTGGTTTATAAGACTGGACCATAAATTTGCATTGGGACCATTGCATTATGCATTAATTAATTGAAATAAAAACTTAATAAAATTAATAAACTTTGATTTTGTTTAGGACACTCAGGGGGTAACTTATCGCAACAAAAAACAAACTGGAATTGGATTTTCCAATTTGAAATTGGATCCAACATGCTTAGAAATGTTTATTAGAAACCCATTAAATAAAATGTAAATGCGTCAACATTTACCCCAATTCATCAGGTAACTGTACAACCAGTAGGCTATTACTAAGTATTGTAAGTTGTTACATATTTGGAATCTTAGTTAATCTCTGAGCAAGATGTTGTAAGTTATAACTAGGTACTTTTTTCAGAGCAATCCTGGTAAAGTCCCAATAGTTGCAAGATCATTTGAAACAAACCATAGCAAACCTGATGCAACAGAAGATAAACCTACTGTAACACTTGAAGATAACAAGAATGCACCATCAGACAGTGAAATCTTGGAGACAATTCAACCAGAGTATTTCCAAGAAAATGAATTTGATTCTTCTTTGTTTGAACTTAAGGTAAACCTTCAGACATTACACAAATTAGCCTACTTTTTTTTGTCCTTGGACGCTAGGCATGAGCCCGAGATTGTTTTTCACATTACTTCAGGTTAGACTGGGTGGTTGCAGCATTATCACTTGGATAAAATCCATTGGTGATTTGGAGGGATTTAAACCTGGGACCTTTGGGACAAAAGTCCCTCGCTCTAACTACTAGACCAGCTGGCTCCCCCATTAAAATTACAATGGAACAAATGGATTCTTAAAAGTGTACTAACACTCAGGCACTCAACAACCTTTCACCCAAATTTATGTTGTTTAAAAGTATAAAAAAGATGCTTGTTTTAAACATTAGGGTATCTGATAAACTGTGATGAACAGTTAATTATTTTAATTTTATTTATTGACTTTAAGTCTTAAATCCTTTCTTAAGAGTCCTTAGAGGCTAGCGGCCATCTTCGATAGTTTTAAACAGCTGCTGAAGAGTTATCTATCGTCAAAAAATATTTTTTTCAAATACCAAAGTGATTTGAATTTAAATATATAGTAAACCGTGATATTAGAAATGTTCTTTATAGTTTTTAATTGTTCTTAAAGGGAGTCCATGGAAGCTAATGGCCATCTTGGATTTCCCCGATATAAGAGCAATGCTATTTAGGTACTTAATTTCAAACAGCCGCTGAAGAGTTATATTTACCATCTCAGAATATTTGTTTAAACACCAGAGTGATTTTAATTTGAAAATCTAGTAGGTAGGCTAGACTGTAGGTAGTAGGTAGTAGGTAGACTGTGAGATTAGAAATTTCCTTTGCTTTTTTTTATATTTATTTAAAAGCTAGAACATCTAGGCTCCAAGGAATCTTATAGCTAATATTTTAAGACCATCAAACAACTTTGAAGCAGTTTTAATCCTTACCTTTTGGATAATATTTGTGGATTACGGGCAGAAATAACATTACGCTTAGCAGCCGATGACACTAAAATCATGAAGATAGGTGAACAATTCCCCAGGGACTCCAGTTACAAAAAAATCTCAGCATATTGCATGGGTATGGATGGATTACTAATCTGAATTTTGTTTCAGAAACTTCCAGATGAACTGTTTAGTGAAGTACTGGAAAAGGACTTGGCTCAACTCAAAAAACAACAAGTTGTTGTATCAAATCAGGTCCTTCAGTTAATACTTGAAAAACAGTCAGCATGTGAACAAGAATTTAACCGGTAGGACATTTAAAGACAATTTAGGCCTAAAGTAAATATCTTCAACAGTTTCACGCTTAAGGTAGTCTACTGTATATCATTACTAGTCTCATAAGTAACATATTCCGAGGTAATATTTCACTTTTGTAATTAAGTCAAAACTCAACGGTAGTATGGGATCAAGCTTTGGATATGCAGACTTTCATAACAAGCTATTGGCTAGGTTATACGCTCTTTATTTGTATGCCAAAATTGTGTTATTTTGGTGAATTTTGAAGTCTTAAAAGATTTGTTTTGATCACTGGTCTCAAACTCAACTGAAATTAATGTTACCATAGCTAATTTTAATCAATATCAAACAGCCAAAGAAATAGTCCTACTGCATTTTCATTCCAGTTTATAAATTTGTAATATTTAATAAAGAGTGCTGCTTACCTCTGGGGGCCGTAACTAACATGTAACTTATCAGAGTCTGGAAAGAAAAGCTAGACACAAATAAATAATCTTACTTTCTGGTACATGTAGGATAAAGAGTCAAGTTTCCATATTCCAGCTGGAATAGAAAGTAGCCACCCTTGGCACAGAATAATGTAAATCATGTAAAAGCAATAGAATTATATCAAGTTAAGTAAAGTTGGATAAGATCAAGAACAATTTGTGCTGTTTTAAGGGCAACCAGTATGTGTTTGAGGCGAACATGAAAGAAATGGCGGTCAGCGAGAGAATTTGATGATGGAGCTGGGATTCCAAATTTTTTTGTGTAAAAATTAATTGTCAATTTCTAATTTTTTTTTAAATTTCTATTATAATTTCTATTAAACAGGCTAATAAAAATAAATAAATAAAAATTACATCAAATTGGGCCTATTATGCCATTTATTATTCTATTAAAGAAATGTTGATTGTAGCTGTACCGCATAGCATTCCGTCTGCACATTCTGAACCAACTCTTAACTTAACCTTCAGAACCAAACAGCAGTAGATCACAATGTGTTGCAGTTAATTCAAAATGAAGTTGCCTGGTAGCTCCATTTGACCACATGTGTGAAGTTTATGTATTTTGGTTAATGAAACCAAAATGCCACATAATTTAGAAGTAGACCAATTCTGTTTAATGGTGGGATATTTTTTAATTTATGAAACCCTTATAAACCAAAAGACACTCTCATAGTATAATTTCCTTTCATTTATGATTTTACATTTCGATAGAGATGGTATGACGTTTTATGTGCTTTGGTATGATATTTTTTACTGTATGATGTTTTGGTTTACTGTTAAAGGATCGTAGAGGTGCAGTCGTTGGTTGGAGAGACTCTGGAAGTCGTGCAGCGTGGTAGGCAGGATCTAGAAATAGCTCGGAAGCATTTCACAACCGCAAGCTTAGGTATCCTGGCAAACTATCGGAAGCGAACTATTATCCAGGATCTTCTTAGATCTTTGAATTCCATCAAAACAATAGTAAGTAGTACATATTAAGAACTGCAGGTATATACAAATTCTCTTCCTTGCTGATCAATTTATTTTTTAACAAAGTAACTGCTATAATCTATAGGCCTATATTGATATTAATTATTAATAATTTTTTTTCTAATCTAATAAAAAAACCTTAAATTTATTACGAGGTGCAGCAAAGTAGTTTACACTTTAGTGTGAAAATAAAACCATCAAAATATATTTTTCCTACAGCCACCCACAAAGTGGGCTTCCTTTCACAGATTATAGTACAGACAATACCGTCATATCCACTTACCATAGATTAGCATTTTATGAATAAAAACCTTCATATATTGGATCAAAGTTCTTACATAGACTTCCAAATACGTTAAAAACTGAAAATAACATCAATAAATTTAAGAATAAGTTAAAAAATTACCTTTTTCACAAACCAATATATACATACTTGTTTAAGGATTTTAAAGTTTTTTAGTACTGTATTAAGTTTTTCATTTGACACTATTCTCATGTACTGTGTGTGCATATTGTGAAGAAAGATGAGTTGACTTGACTTGACTTGAAAGCCTTACTTTGGCGCACAGTTTTTATTTTGGGGCACACCAGTATTCCAACCTAACAACACAAAACAGCGTTCTTTTATTATGCACATAACGGATTATGTGCAAGCGTACACGGATGTACTGAGCCGACCCCTCGCACCGCCCCCAGACGAACAACTATTGGAAGCATGCCCCCCATAGTGACAGTGCGAGTGGCCGCCCCACATCCCTAACAAAATGAAAGGCCGTGGGTGAATATCAAAAAACAAACAGTTGTCAACAAAGCCTATATTAATTCCAAAATTCAACAAATAACAATAATCAACAATGTCAGCCATCCAAAGAATTCATTTAAAAATCTTTCAAAAAATTTACCCTTCTGAATTACAAACTGGTACCAGTAACAAATTAGGCCTAACAAGAAATAATTAAAGATGGTAACTGTAAATATACTTTAAACTTTGAAAAAATTAACAATTAAATAAATAACAATACTATAAAAATAAATAACGAAGAATCAATCATTTTGCGGGGCCCCCTTCAAATATAAAGTTTTTTTTAAAATGTTCGTAATTTCAAAGTATAACTTGCGTATTGCGTGGCACAACTATTATCCTTGCTGGTGGCAGGCGGTGGTGGTGGGTGACGATGAGTAGCTTAATGGTCCCCGGAGAAACTGGGCCATTGGCAGACCCAGGAGGTGGAAGATGGAGTGTCCCCCCCGGGCGACCCTCTCCGAGGACAGCAGCAAATCCAAGCCTCCCATCCGGGACCCTTTGAACACATTCCAGGCCTAACTAATAAAAGTCCATATAAACTTGAGAACATTAGGCCTACCAAGCTTTTCAAGAAAAATTCCATAAACAATTTCCGCACCACTCGTTCACTAACCAAAACTATTACAAATGAGATTTTTATTAAAAATATTTTTCTTTTAATAGGCTTTCCTTTATTTAAAACAGTCTTTAAGAGTTATAAAGAGAAAAATGACTAGACAAAATTAATTCAGATAAATAAAGCTTTAAAAACATAACAATAAATAGACTTTTAAATATTACTAACTTTAACAACACATTCTGACAGTAAAATTTTATAAAGATTGGAGTTAACAATAAAAAATATGAATTATCTGGTCCAGAAGGGTAAAACACATTAATCAAACACAAAACAATTATATAAATACTACAATAAACACTTCAAAAAACAGTTCTCACAAAATTTTAAAAATTCTTTGGCTGGAGGTGCATTTTTGGGTAAAACCGGTAATAACTCCGGTTATTACCAACCAAATTTGCTCAAATTGCTTTTAAAAGCTGTGGCACAGGTGCCCGCAGCTTTTAAAAGACAAACCCATGCCTACCAACTAGCCTGAGGCTAGGTAGGGGGTCAGTTACCTACGGTCACTCAGCAAACAGAAATGCGCTAAACTAAAACTTAAATAACTCGGTCATTTATTATCCAAACTTAATGAAAATTGCAGGGGACAAGTAAGAGCACTAATACTAACTAATTATGACCGAGCTTGGCCCCCAGGAGGCGCCATTACTTAACTAAAAAAAATTAGGCTGAGTGACATGGCCTACAATACAAATAACAAAAAAACACTATTACAGGGGACAAAGGGACAAAATTTACATTAAATAAGCTGTAGGCCACAATAACAAAACAAAATTGAGCACAAACTAGGCCTTAGGCCTAATAATAAATTAACAGGGACACAGAACAAACGGACCATAGCCCACACAAAAGAGAGTTTCAAAGTGAGTTTTCTTGGGTAATATCTGGCCTAGAGCCTCGGGGAAAGCTTTGAAAACTTGGCAACAACAAAAACTACTAAACTAACCAGAAAAACTTGTGGTTTGACCACACAAAGCTTGGCCAAAGGCCCAACAAAACTCTGTTCAATTCCAGCCTCAGAAATGGGTCTAGCGCCTTGAAAAACAAGTAATTGGTAATTAAAAGTAATACCAATGCACAGAAGGTGCTTAATACTTGTCTTTCACTAGCCAAAACCCACTCAAAGTCTGCACAACATGTGGCTGAAGGCCAAAACTAATTCAGAAACTTTCTAACCTAAACAAATCAAAATAATCAAACAACTTACTCATCTGACGACTGGCAAAACACTAACTACATGACTTGAGTAGACGATGAACAGAAGAACAAAATTAACAGTGACATTGAAGGATGAACACTGATATTCATCGAAGATAACCAAGTCTTGACAAATCGACAATCGCCGGCCTTCTGGTGAAAATGTGACAGAAGGCGGACATTGACTCTGGGTTGCAGGATTGCTGCCCGACCCAAACCGACTGAGTTCCGGCGCAAAGCCAGTACTCACACTATACAAAAAACACTGAGGCGTGACATTGGTGGGACGCTTGGTGGACATGTCACGGCTCAACCTCCCCCCCCAAAGGAGGACTTCCTCTCCAAAAAAAAAGAAAAAATAACCTCTCCCAATTCTAGAAGATCTCAACACCAACAGATCAACTCAAGTGTCTGAAGTGGGGAACGCCAAAAAGTCTTTCAACTGGAGGGACTACTCACCCCCAGGGTTTGCACTGGCCAGTGCTGGAAAATTTACTAGGGAAAAATCTTCAGCAGCGCACAAGGGACAGAAGAGGTGATCAAGCTCTCTGGCCCAGTGCACTTCCCACTCAGACACAAGAGTAATGAAAGATGACCTACGGAATTGTTCCCCGGAAAGGCTTCAGATGAGAAATGTGAGCCCTCCGGAAAACTTCTCCAGTCTGCGGATTTCCAAGCCGCACGGAGACAGGAGTCAAGAACTTCAAGATGCGGTGGGGACCTGACCACCGATGAGACAACTTAGCGGCTCTCTTGTCCACGGCCGAACTGACCGGATGAGCCTTACAGAAAACCAAATCCCCCACCTGGAAAGGATTGTCCAACCGACCTCGATTGTGCTTCCTCCGGACCAACTCCCTAGCTCGGATCAAGTTCCTCCTAGCCGCCTGCCAAGTTGCCTTGACATTGGCAGCACCAGGGGGTGGCAGAAGGTCGCCAATTTTCCACACATTTGCCAAAGGATTATTGGGTGGATAGCCCAACAACAGCTCGAAAGGGACCGCCTTGTGACTCTCATGGTGTGCAGTATTGAAAGCAAATTGAATCCAAGGAAGTTCCTGATCCCAGGTGGTCTGCTTGTCAGCATGAAAAGCTATGAGAGCGGATCGAAGATTTCTGTTGAACCTCTCAGCATGGGAAGGCTGTGGATAGTAAGGGGAAGTGGTCACATGGCGGATACCGTGCCCAAAGCACATTCTTTTGAAAAGGTGAGAAACAAACTGAGTTCCGTTGTCGGAAACAATGGTGGCGGGTATTCCAAAGTGTTGGAACAAATGGGTACGAAGTGCCTGCACGGTGAGCTGTGCAGTGGCGTTCCTCAAAGGAAAAAGCCAACAAAACTTGGAGAAGGCATCCACACAAACAAGCAAGAATTTGTTTCCTGACTTGCTACGTGGGAGAGGCCCCACATAGTCTATGAAAACCTTCTCCAAAGGTCTCTCCGCCACCTCAGATGACAACAACCCATACTTGGTATTCTGAGCAGGCTTGCTTAGCGAGCATGTTTGACAAGAACGTACTCGTGCCGCAATGTCCCTGTCCATACCCTTCCAGATGAACATGTCCCTAACCTTCGCAATGGTCTTGTGAATCCCTAAGTGCCCACCCACAGGGGAAGAGTGAAAGTACGCAAAGACCATGGGTACAAGAAGACTAGGCAGCACAACCTTAGGTTTACCTCGCTGTCGGTCTCGACAACAAAGGGCACCCTGGGACAGAAAATATGGGGGGTAGGCTCCCCCATTTTGAAGCTCACCAATGATCTTAGCCAGCTCGGGATCTTTTAGCTGATGTGGGATGAACTCAGAGAAGGCAAGGGGAAACTCCAGGAGCACGGCACACCCTGTGTGCTCCTCCTGATCAGAAGGTTGGTCGTCAGGTGAATGATACATCCTTGATAAAGTGTCAGCAATCACATTCTGCGTGCCTCGAACATGTTGCACTTGGAATTTGAGGGAAGATATCTGGACAACCCAACGACCAATTTTCCCAAGCTGGCGAGGATGTGCAAGGAGCCACGAGAGCGCTTGGTTGTCGGTTTCCAGCAAAAACTCTTTATGTTCCAAAAAACGTCTGAACTTGTTCACTCCAAACACGACAGCCAAACACTCTAACTCATACACAGAAGAGCTTTTCTTTTCGCATGGGTTCAAAGTGCGTGAGGCATACGCAATTGGCTGCCTAACACCATCTACCTCTTGAGACAACACAGCCGCAATTGCGACGGAGGAAGCATCGGTTTGCAAAACAAACTTTCGACTGAAATCTGGCATCGCCAAAACTGGAGGTTGCATGATAGCTTCTTTCAGAAGAACAAAAGACATCTGTTGTGCTTCACCCCAAACAAACTTGGCGCCCTTCTTCCGAAGC